CCCCCCACAGATATAAATATATCCTTATTTGAGAAAACTGTGAGACACTTTATGAGGGATAAGGCTCAAGATTAGATCAGACCCTTCCAAATCTCACTGAACCCTGAAATTTTTTAACAGATGAATTTTTCTTTTCGAAGTAAAAATTGCAATTGTAATATAGTAAGATAGAATCAGAACTTTAAATTTTGTGTTATATACCAGTGCATCTCTACTTCAGGCAAATTAACTCTCTTGCCTTCCTTCTGTATTTGTTAGAGGACAGCCACATTTTTTTCTTTCTCAAAGTTTGTATCAGATGTCTCTCTTTTCCTTTATTAAAATTACAATTTTCTCGGGGCGCCTGGGTGGCGCAGTCGGTTGGGCGTCCGACTTCAGCCAGGTCACGATCTTGCGGTCCGTGAGTTCGAGCCCCGCGTCGGGCTCTGGGCGGATGGCTCAGAGCCTGGAGCCTGTTTCCGATTCTGTGTCTCCCTCTCTCTCTGCCCCTCGCCCGTTCATGCTCTGTCTCTCTCTGTCCCAAAAATAAATAAACGTTGAAAAAAAAAATTTTTTTTAAATTACAATTTTCTTTATAATTCTCTAATCAATTTTAAGTGTTTAACTCTCATTAGAAAAGTTTCTGGAGGGACCCCTGGGTGGCTCAGTTGATTAAGCTTCTGACTTCGACTCAGGTCATGATCTCACGGTCTGTGGGTTCGAGCTCTGTGTCAGGTTCTGTGCCGACAGCTTGGAGCCTGGAGGCTGTAGAAAGGTTTGTGGAGAGTATCCTAAAATCCTTTCTATCCTTCTGATGTAAATAACAGAATCTTTTTTTTATTTTTAAACCCACGGAGTTCATATAACTTAACTCTGGCCCCTTGTACAAGGAATGAGATCTAAATAGGAAAAGTGACCTCCAGCTAGTTAGTGGCAGAGCCAGGTGCCAAACTCACCAGCCACTTACTTCCACCCTGCATACTGCCTTGAATGCTGACTCTTTGAGTAGACAGTTTCAAGTTCATCTACTAAGTTGAACTTCAGAACCTGAACCAGTTTTGGTTTACAGCAGTGCTTCTGTGCGAGAGTGCTTTGATTTGCGTACTGGTGGGATCCACTGTGCAGAAAGATCCTTGGTCTATGTTCCATTTACCAAGAAGCAACGGGGTCAAAGCCTTAGGCACTGTGGCATTATCAGTAGATGAGAACTTAACATAAGAAGGACAATGAAAACCTTGTTTAGAAAAAAGCAAATAGAGAAAGGCATTTGGAAAATATCTTTGGCCCAACATCTGGAAGCAATTTGGATTTGGAATAAAAATCATATTTCACAAAATTAATTCTCATTTGCAAATACCTGTTAAGTGTCCACTCATAGTTTTGTCATGACTATTGAATAACTGTCTGTATTTCAGTCTGGATGACTGAGGGACAGCCCATTCTGCCGCGGGAGGGGCACTGTGGGGAAGAGGAAGGAGGGGTAAAAGGATGAACAGTGAAGAACATATTTACATTCTTTTAACACCAGTAAACTACGAACTTCCCGAGAAAACCAGCTTTGACATTTTATTAGCTTTCTAATCATTACTTCTGAATTTTCTGTTATGAGTATTTCCATATTTTAAGGTTATAAACATTCCTCTCAAAACAGACATGCTCGTTATTTTTCCAGAATCAAGGGTAAACACAATAGAATAAGTGGCTGTTCCAAGTTATACACACAATTTAATAACTGGAAGCCTCTACAAAATACGGAAAGACCTCTTTGGATCTAAAATGATACAAAAATGTCCAGGCTTTTCCTAACTTCTAGAACAGTTCTCTTTCAGCTCAAAAAGCAATGCTGATAGCAAACAGGTAGCTGCCTTTAAAGGTATTAATTCTTTAACATGTGTAACTTTCTATTCAGCAAAAGACAGGATATAGTTCTTAATGAAGGGAAATCATTTCATTCTGGGAAGTTTAAATTCCCACAAATGGAGAGTTGCCCAGAGAGAACAGAACATTTCCAGGGTCACGGCAAATCAGTGGGGCGGTAATGGAAGGGGCTTTGCTTTCTTTAAGTGCAATCAAGTGCTGACCTTTTCTTGCCAATGTGCAGCAAGCCTGACCCAAGAAAACCCCTGCCAGGAGTCAACTGGGTCTACACCTCCTTAGTGACGAGGTCCTCAGAGTTGTTCCCCCGTTAAGTATCACATTGGTACCTATGGCTTGTTAAGAGCCTGGTGTCTAAATAGGGCAATTTAAACAAAATGGCTAAGCTCTCAATGGCATTTCACTTCCAGAACAGATTGTAACTAATACCCCATTTGCAATTTCCTGTCATTTCAACAAAGATATCTATTCCTCATATGTAAAAGCAAAGTTTTAATCATAAATTGAACCTCTCAGTCATCATTTACATGTGTTACCTATGCACTTATACTTAACAACATATACTTCATAATGCATTGGAAACGGCTCCCAAGCACTTTAAGAGTACCTAATTACAGTCACGTTTTCAACTATTATAAATTTCTTAATAAAAAACACTTACCAAGGTCGATTCTGCTGTGAGTACTTCTGCAACAGCCCTCTCATTTTAAACTAACTAATTTATGCTGATTCCAACTCTTGCCTATTTGTCAAAAGCTAATTATCTTTCTCCTGCACCCCAGGAATATAGGGTGTTGCACACAGATGCTGCCCCAGATTACACTTATCAAGTCATAGTTTTCTGCCGAGACTTCCCTGAAAACTTAAAGGGACTAAAAACTCATTAGCAGGTAACCAAAAATTAGATGCCACGTTCTAAAAATTTGCTGGAAATTGAAATTACTAAAAAGATGACTACCAATCTGACCCCCCACAACCAGTTGCCTTAATAACATTACTGTTTGCTAATACTGATTACTTATTCATTCTTATGGCACAAATCAATTTTTTAATGTTTTCTTTTTAAGTTTGTTTATTTACATTGAGAGAGAGAGGGAGGGGCAGAGAGAGAGAAAAGCCCAAGTAGGTTCCGCACTATCAGGGCAGAGCCTGGGTGGGGGGTGGGGGGACCTTGAACCCACAAGTCATGAGATCATGCCCTGAGGCGAAATCAAGAGTCATGGGATGCTTGACCAACTGAACCGACCACCCAGGTGCCCCAGTCACACATCAATTTTAAGGCAGATTTCAAAATCCCTTGTGGAGAGTCACAGAAAACTCAAAACTTCAGCATGTATAGGAGAAAGACTAAGAAATAGGGAATTCGGTGTTGGATCACCTGAGTTTAAATCTCAGTTCTACCTTGTGGTAAAATGTAAACTGTAAGTGAGGATGATCGCTTCTTTGGGTTTATTTCCTAATTCACAATTCTGAGCCGGTATCTACTGCAGGTGGTTGGGGGCACGGAATGGGATTAACAAGGTGTTTGGCAAGTAGATGTTCAGCAATGTTCCTGAGTCTTAGGAATAAAACCTTAACGAGCGGAAGACAAGTTCTGCATACCACCATTAGCTGAAGTTTTCAGAGCAAACTTTCAGGTAAGAACTCATGCCTTAAAATCAGAAAGAACTCAGTTAAACTCCTGGCTCTATCATTTAGGAGCTATGTTATCTTGGGCAAATTCCATGAGATTATCTGAGATAGAATAAAAGATAAGGCCAACTGTGGCTCTAATCTTCATATAAAATTTTCTATAAATATGTAAAGGGTTAATAGAAAAGAGTTAATTTCCCCCTCCTACCTGGAGTTCTATTTTATTATTTTTAAACATTAGTAAAACTAGTAGCTATTTGTTTTCGTTATTAAAAAAAGAACACCCAAAGTGTTTTAAGGAAATGTCATGTTCTTTATTTGTCATCTCTACAACATGTAAGTGATAAAACCTAGTAACATTATCCAGAACTAATTATTGGCATCCTACAAAATAAAAGACAATAAAGAACATAGTTAATTCACTTTCAGTTTTAGATGTTAATCAGATAATGGCTTTAATCCAATGCCCATTTAGAAATAAGCACACTTACCTAGCCACATCAAATGACTGTGCCTTCTGTAATTTAGTGTTTAATTGTGACCCTGGACCAGATCTACTGAAGGAAGAGCTCTTTGGCAATGTGGCTGCTGTAAAAATAAATAAATGGTGAATAATTTTAATCCTACAAAGAAAAGAAACATTTTCCTATTAGTGAAAATTAAAATATATACTCACCAAATCTGAGGCAGAAATTATTCCTCCCTTACTACCCTGGACTCAAAAAGAGTGACTTCCTCCTCACTCCCTGCCCCTTGCCAAAAATTTTTCTAGATTTACTCATTCCTACTGAAAATCACCTTGCTAAGTAGTAATGCTTACAATCCATAACTCTTTGTTAAAAGTTTCATATCACATCTTTTTTTGTAAATTTGTTTGTTTGTTTGTTTATTTATTTATTTATTTATTTTGAGAGAGAGAGGAGTGAGCACACAAGAAGGGGAGGAGCAGAGAGAAAATCCCAACCAGGCTCCTCAATGTTAGTGCAGAGCCCGACGCAGGGCTTGAACCCACAAAGTGTGAAATCATGAGCCAAAACCAAGTTGGCCGCTTAACCGACTTAGCCACCCAGATGCCCCTGTATCACATCTTACGGGATCTGTTCCCATAGTTAAAGAAGCAACAGCTTAAATACATAGGATGGCATTTTCTTAACTGTGCTAAAGGAGCAGAAGTATTAGGTCCAGATGAAAGAAACAAAAGGTCCCAGCCTTGCAGTCCCGGCCAGATAACATGGGATGCTAGGGAGGGTCAGCCTTTGTGTCTGATTCCCATTAGGGCTGGTTAGCTGGGTGCCAGGAAAATACGCTGAGTCTCAGCCACATTCCCCACCTCCTGGCCTATTGTCTTGCAACATTTGCTATTAAGCCCAAAAGAAAACAAGACAGAGCACATGCATTCACAGATGCTACTTGAAAAGTAACTGCAACAACTTTTACAGCTGCCATCACGTCTTTAGCCATGGCCACATATGAAAGGTAAACTACACGGGACAAGAAAATCTTAAAGAAAAAAAAAAGTGCTGCCTTTAGATTCTTTAGCTATAACTTACAGACAGATCTTGACAGATGGAATAAATCCAGGGAACTGGGCAGAGAAATAACCATTCAAACATAATCATTACCCATGGCTAAAATCCAGGCCATCATCGCTACTGAAATTACACAGACATATCCCAAGTACTTTTTTAAAAAAATACTTTACCCCCGGATAAGAATTCATTAGATGTGTAGACCACATCTACAGTTTATGCTTTCTTTTCACTAAAGGGAAAAAGACTTCAAATAAAGTCTCAAAATGAAATTAACTACACCAGGAACTTTTTAATCCTTTCTATCAATGAAGCAAGCAGGTAATACTCCGTCTTTAATGTATTTAGCCATTTAATCAACTTCCTTCCCCCTTCCTCCTGATTCACTCCACCTCCTCAAAAAAAAAAAAAGAAATAGCTGTGTTCTTTTTTTCCTCCCCATTCTCCTAAGGGAATGGCTTACTTATTAGCAATTCATAGCAGCTGAAGAAAAGTAGTAACTGACACACGGGAAGAGAAAATGTTCAACTACTACTGATCGAACTTGAGTCACTCCTGTCAAGCCCTTGAAAGGAAATTATGCTCTTGGTTTTAGCTGTTGAGTTCACCTTTGTCCATAATGGTACCAGAGCTCCATAATTTCATTCTCCGTTACCTCTCTCTAGCCTAACACATCCTATTCAGTGTTGGGAAAAAGTGAAATATTAAATTAAAAAAAAAGGAAGATATCTTCCTCTGGAATAAAATGCCATTCAAATGTAATCAGAGAGTGATGACAGAAGATTTAACAAGAGCGAAGAGTAAAACACAAGTTGTAAAAAGTCAGTCTGTGGATTCAGCAGGTCACATACCAGGATGAGCAAATGCGGGTAGAGGTTGTATAACAGGGGGAGCCCCGTTAGCCAGGGGAGGCACTGCTGCTGTAGGAACAGAAGATACTAGAGGTGGAGACATTCCGACAACTGGAATGGATCCCATTGGCACCGGAGCAACAGCTGTGAGTGGCGGCATGCTGGCGATGCCTCCTATTCCTAGGAAGAAAAAATCCCAGCAAAAGTCACATGGAACCACCTTTCCACGTTCAATGACAATTAATCCAGGAGTGTTTGAAGAAGAAACTCGCTTTCCAGCTCTAACATATTTTCATTTAAAATAGAAATTCAGAAAAAAAAAATAAATTCACATTAATCGTTTTGGAGAGTACCAAAAATTACGTCAAGAATCAATCACATCCTAAGGGCACAAGATCCAACTTGAAAAGGCATCTACTGGCCAAAGTTGAGGGTCAATAAGAATAATAACTGCAATGGAATGAAAGCCACAGAGGGAATTAAATTTGTGAATTCATAATTATATTGAAAAAAATCCTAATTGGTCACCATAGGTAATCAATTTATTTTGAAAACTAGTATAAATAAAGGAGGAAAAGAAATCAAACATTTATCCTGCCTTTCCTTTACATATTCAATCTCAGAGTAACCAAACATTTTCATGGGGGAGTTTCTCTTGGTTAGAGGATTCTAACCAAAGAATGAAGAAATGATCAATGTTTCCTTTCTTTTTTGTTTCTCTGTCTGAACTTGTGATATTGTGTCATAAAAAGATACATATATCTGGTCTGTCCCTGGTTCCTGGCAGAGCTCCTAAAACCCTTGTGATTTCCTGACTGATAGGAACATCTTTTGTTACACAGTATTAGGTCTTGGTCCCTGGTTCCTGACACAAGAGCTTCTAAGACCCCTGGAATCTCTGGAGTGACAGAAGTCTTTTTGTATTTAAATAAGATGACTGGTGGCTGGGGGCCCCCAGAATACTTACCGGATGGGAGCTGATCACAGGAAAGACCAAGGCATGGTTAGAGGGTTGCAACTTTCAATCCCATCCCACCCCTCCCCACCTCCACACAGACCTCAGGGGAGGGTACAGGGGCTGGAGACTGAGCTAGTCAATGGCCAAGGATGTCATCAATCACACCATAGCAATGAAGCCTCCATAGAAACTCCTACATTACAGGGTTTGGAGAGCTTCCAGGCTGGTAAACACATCCACATGCTGGGAGGGTGGCACACCCCAACTCCATCAGGACAGAACCCTTCTGGGCCTCGCCCTTATACACCCCTTCATCTGCCTGTTCATCTGTATGTATCCTTTGTCATATACTTTATAACAAACTAGTAAACCTAAGTAAATGTTTCTCTGAGTTTTGTGAGCTGTTCTAGCAAATTCAGAAAGGGGAAGAAGGGTGTGTGGGAGCCTCTGACTTTGTAGTCAAGTCAGACAGAAGTATGGGTACCCTAGCGACTCAGGGCTTCTGACTCAAGTCTGAAGTGAGGGCAGCCTTGTGGGACTGGGCCCTTCAACCCTTAGAATCTGACTCTAATTCCAGTAGTTACCACCAGAATTAATCATAAAAAAATAAGTTAGTGTCTGGAGAGTTGGAAAATTTGGTGGCATGGTTTTTCTGGACGCAAAATTCTTGGCTTTGTCTTTCCTCCATAATCCTAAATATATTACTCCGTTTTTTTCTGGCATCAAGCACTGCTATAGAGAAGTCTGAAGACATTCTAATTTTCTTCCTCTTGTAAGTCATGTGCTTTCTTTTGCTATATACCCAAATAATTTTTTGTTTTTGTAGAATTTATCTTTGTGTTGGTTTCTCCAGGTTGACATTCTCAAGCATATGATATCTTCTTTCCAATAAAGTGTCAAATCTTTTATTTCCAGCAAGTTGTCTTAAACTAGTCTTTACCATTTGTTCTCTTTCCTTGCTTTGGTTTCCTTCTTCAGGTACTCCCAACTACCATACATTCACTTTCCTTTGCCTTCAATATCGGTCACTTTTTCTCAAATCCTTTTTATCTCTTGTGCATTTCTTCTTAATGTTTGAAATCTTCCTCTTTTTACCTTGTTTCTCTTCTGATAGCATCTCTTGTGCTGCTTCTGGTTTGTCTTCCGTTCTGAAATGACTTTTTCTTTTATTTCTCATTCTTTTCTGAGTTCTGTTGCCTTATTTCCGAGGCTTTAAAATTCTGATCGTGTTGGTCTTTCACGACTTGTGTCATTTTCTTAGTATTTTTCAGCTTGTTTTGAAATTGTAGGTTCCTGGGATGCCCTCATTGTCCACAGAGCTGTTATTCAGCTCTTTATTCTCCTTTTCCTAATAATAACTTTGTGTGGGATTTGACCTTGCCTGATACTGCCTGTGGCTCATTTTTATGTGAGCCTTGCTTCCTGGGATTTCCAGCCTCTGTCCTCCACCTCCACGTTGGTCTGGACCTTCTCCTTCTTTCGTGTCTGTGTTGCCACCCTGCTCAATTTGGATTCGACTCCCAGTCATTTCTCCTCAGGGTAGGGACTTGTCCCATGAGGAAGCCTTGTTCCACCAGCTTTTAAATAACCACTACAAAGACTGACATCCTTTTATCAGTTGACTACCTTTTCTGAATGAACATTTTCTAAATATTTCTAAAGAAATCCATCTACTGGAGGCTGTGTTTTAGATATCATTTCTCTGGACTCTGCTAAATTTTAATTCCTGAAATTTTCCCATCTCTCCTCAACCACTGGGTTTTCCCTCACTTCTCTAAAAATGCAGGAGCACTCCTCATCCTAAACACACCAGCCTTCAGCTGACATGCTCCTCCAGCTTTCTCTCTCCTTTCCAGTAGCACTCTCCCCTTTTCCAAGCCTTCAATCAGGCTTGAGTCTCTACCACTCGAATGAAACTGCTTTTCAAGGTCATATACAAATCCATCTTGTAAAATCCACTCATTTTTCTGTCCTATTACTCAATCTCTCAGAAGCAAATCCAACAAGGGAGCTCTGCCTCCTTGAAAAACGTTTTCTTGGCTAATGGGACAACAACCTTCTCCTATTTCACTCCTGGCTTCTTCCCTTTTACTACACCCTTAAATGTCACAGCACAGCAAGGCCTGCTCCCAGGTCTCCTGCCTACTCTAGTTGCACATTCTAGGGTATTTTATCCAGTGCCAGGGATTTCAATGCCATCCATACTCAAATTCTCCCAGAGCTGATAGATCCTTCTTCTGAGTTCCAGACCCATGGATTCATCTGCCTCCTTGCAAATGCACTAGGCCCCTCACACTTAACATTACCAAGATTTGATTTATTTTTCTTCCACATTGATTATTAACACCCAGATCTAAATCCCCACTACCTCTTGCCCATGGCAAAAACCCCCTTACTGACTTCCCTGATTCTACTCTTGTCCCCTTGCAGTCCAGTCTTCAGATAACACAGATTATTTTTTCTAAATGTCTGTCAACCATGGGGTGCCTGGGTGGCTCAGTCGGTTGAGCGTCTGACTTCAGCTCAGGTTACGATCTGGTGGTTTGTGAGTTCAAGCCCCACGTTAGGCTCTATGCTGACAGCTCAGAGCTGAGAGCCTGCTTCAGATTCTGTGTCTCCCCCTCTCTCTGCCCCTCCCCTGCTCATGCTCTGTCTCTCAAAAATAAATGTTATAAAAAAAATTAAATGTCTACCAACCATGTACTCTCTTACCCATAAGCTCTCTGTAGCTTTTCACTGCACTTAGAAAAAAAAAAATTATAGGGGAGCCTGGGTGGCGCAGTTGGTTAAGTGTCCAATTCTTGAGCTCAGCTCAGTTCATGATCTCACAGTTTGTGAGCATGGGGCTCTATGCTAATAGCATGGAACCTACTTGGGATTCTGTCTCCCCCTCTCTCTGTCCCTCCCCAGCTGGTGCTCGCTGTCTCTTTCAAAATAAATAAACTTTTAAAAAAGAAAGAAAAAAAGATTCTCACTCATTAGTGGTTTTATTAGGCCCTAAACCATCTGGCTCTTGCCTTACCTCCCTGACCTGAAGGCCCACCAATACCTCAGCTACAGTGCTCTCATTTCTGTTTCTTGCACATAAACAGCTTCATTTTTGCCTTAGGACCTTTGCAACTGCTATTCCTTTTGCCTGGAACATTCTCTCCTAGGTCTTCCTTCACATGGCTCTCATCTCTAATTCAGCTCAACGTCATCTCTTTTCAGAGAATTCTGCCCTGCTCAACCTGTCCCGTCAGCATCTCTATCCTATTAACCTGTTGTACAGAACTGATTGCTTTTATCTTGCCCTGAAATAATTCATCCATATGCTTGCTTTCTCCAGCTTCACGAGAAGCTTCAAAGCAGCAGGAGCCATGATATCTTGTTCACCAACATGTTCCTAGCAACTAGGGACACACAGTTGGGGTTTAAAAATAATGGTTTGATCTAATAAAACCAAGGGATCTGGCAAATAAACAAGCAAAAGACAAATAACCCCTCCCTGAAACAGTTGGATTCAGAGTCAAAGAAGAATTCTGCTGTGTGCAAACACATTGAGGGAAGATACCAGGAACACTCACAGAATTTCCTGGAATATAGCTGGCTGTCCTTAAGCAAGTCACAGTATCACTGTACCCCATTTCCTCTCCTTCACATAGGGGAGTTGATCAACCCCTAGTTGGCCTCAGTTCCACATGTTAACATGTGTCTTAGCACCCACACAGACAATGAACCCAGGAACAGTTACGTTCCATGCCACCCATATGGTTTGGTGATAATGACAGTGGGAAGGTAAATAGGGAAAAACTGTATGTTTGGACAGGTTCTGCCTCCCTTTCTAGAAATATGGTCTTAAGCAAACTGTTCACCTTCGTAGAATCTTAATTCTCTCATAACAGGCCTAATAATTTCTGTGTATTTTAGGGTTATTGTTGTGACCAAATAAAATACACGCGAAAGTATAATATGTAAGTGGTAGGAAATGCATGGTCAGATAATTTTTAATATTAATTAGAAAATAATGATAGTAGTAACAAATTATTTTCTTCTCAAAAGTAGCCATGTAAGAACTATAAAAAAAAAAAATTACCTGGGGTCAAGCTGAGAGGTGGAACTAGAAAGACTAGCAAAGGTCAGATCTTTGAGTTAACCTGGGCAAACCTGGTTAGGGCACAATGTACTTTTAACTTCTCTCATGTTCTGATATTCCCTGGTGATTCCTTTCTTGACACTAATTTCCTGAGGATGCTGGTGTGATGGGAAGGGGGGAAGGAAAGGCAGTGGGGAAGCCTAGGGGAAGAGCTCAGGACTGGGGAATGGCAGCTCAGAGATCCCAGGTGCCCTCAGAGGCAGTGACAGGTTACTTAGGTGACGGTAAAACCGCCTGGGCAGAGAGGCCGCAACCTTGTGGGAATAAATCAGCAATGTCTCTAGAGTTGAAAGTCCTGCTGCAGAATGGAACAAGAGAAGACATATTAAATGTTAGAGGAAGAATTACTGACCCCGGGTTTGAGGGAAAAAGAGGAAATGGGATGCCTCTGGTTATTTGACTCTTCCTCCCCTCTGAGGTTTCTTCTTGCAGCCCCAGAAGGGAGGCCAAAAGACAACCAAACACCCTTTAGCTGTTTTAACCCATGGGTCCTGACCAAGCATTGGCTACAGGGGACCTTCATGAGATTCAGAGCCACTTCCACTGAAAGAAGCCAGCTAACTAAGGGATCAGGACTGGGAACACAATGGACAAGACCAAGGACCCCGGGCACTATGAGCTGACCATACTCTTCACCCCTGCTCTTCCTAGCCTTTGCTCCTGTGTGATTTCCTGAGTTTTCCCCTCTTCCCTTGGACCGCTATCCTGTTTGCTTGATCTGCACCTTTTGCCTTATAACCACCAGTCTTGTGGCTAAACCTCAAGAGAAAGGCAACGCTCAGAGGTGTTTTTAATGGCAAATCTATTAAGCAAAGCCACAACATTTATTTATCTCAGCTTATCATTAACTGTATCAGAGACAACCTGCCTTGCTATTGATTGCTCCCTCCCAAACCTATTTCACCTATCGCCTGCTATCAGATATATCAGGAGGAAGAAAGGGAAACCCTAGCCACAATTTTTGTGTTTTGTTTAAACTAAGAACTTTCTCATGAGTCAGATTTTAGATCTGATTACTGCAATCTTTAAATCAATGTAAATAATTAAAGTCTAAGGTGAGAACAGAGAAGAAATCAGGACTGTTGGTGATCTTAGTCAACTAATTACTGATTCGGTTTTAAGAAAAATATATAGGGGCGCCTGGGTGGCTCAGTTGGTTGAGCGTCCGACTTCGGCTCAGGTCATGATCTCACAGCTCATGGGTTTGAGCCCCGCGTCCGGCTCTGTGCTGACAGCTCGCAGCCTGGAGCTGCTTCAGATTCTGTGTCTCCCTTTCTCTCTGCCCCTCCCCTGCTCATGCTCTGTCTCTCCCGGTCTCTCAAAAATGAATAAACGCTAAAAAAAATTTAAAAAAAAGAAAGAAAAATATATGGCTAAAGGGTATCGTTTTATGGAATTGTCTTTTTAACTGACATAATGTTTATTTGTTTCCTGCTTCATTTTGTTCTAAATGTGGCCAATTGTCTCAATACCATGAATTTAAAAACACATTGCTAGATACCATAATCCAAGGGAGCTGTTTATGCACAGGGGAAAATCAAAATGTTATGGAAACAGAAAGCCAACAGGAAGCATGTGGCATTGTGACGGGTCAAGAATGAAGAGCAATAAAAAGGCAGAAGATGCGATAGCAGACTGCAATTTTATTCTTTTTACCTTGACATTCTGTAGCTTTGCTTTCATTTTGATTACTAGCATCTGTTAAAAAGAAAACCACAAGACCCAAATGGTGTCACTTAGGCCAAGTCACCAAATCTGGGGCTTAAAACCCAACCTAATGGCAGACTGAAACTGCCCCAGAAATGGACCCATCAGTCCAGAATCTTCTGATCAGAATCAATGAGGTCATCTGTCCCATGGGCCCTGTCCATCACCCAAAGGAAGATGAATGAGATAATTGACCTGATAAGACCCCCTGGCCTTCTACTCAAGGGAAAGTGATCTTGCCAGATACAATCTTTTCTTTTCTTGTGCCAACAACTTTCTTGCCCCACCCTCCTTCCTTCCCCTCTACTTGCTACATGAGTGCTGCCCCACACATGAACCACTTAATAAAGCCCATTATGTCTTCAAATTTACTCAGCTGAACTTCTGTTCTTTAACACATCCTAGGGTGTGAATGTGAACATGCTTCTTCTCTTCCAGCACCATCTGCCTGCACAGGACCATCACTTTTCAGACAGAATAGCCTCCTAGAATTTCACAAGGCTACAAACTGAAAAGGGGAAAAAAGGGAAATATTTATTTTTAAAATATACAATGAAATATAGGAACCAAGTACTCTTCAGACTTACCAAAGGCTGGTGCACTAGAAATAGCGACCGGCTGCTGTTTCATGACGGGGGGAAGTGTGGAAGGGAGTTGGTACCCTTGCAGTTTCAGTTTGATAAGTTTCATAGCTATGGAAAACTCCACTTGATCCATTCGCCCGTCATTGTTCATATCAGCTAGCGCCCTGCAAACCAACACCAAGGGCTTGGAATGATTCTGACCACAAAAGAACCTTCCCATAACCACCACTCCCACCCACACAACAAAACAGTCGGCTCCCTTAATCCCGGGGAGAACAAAAAACAGAAGAAAACAAAGCACGCCAAACCAAACCAAAACTTGTTTACCAAGCTATAGGAAGCCACCTGGGAATACTGACAAGGTTTTGTATCAAAGTAAGAACAGTTTTTATTGTGTTATTCTTTACTTATGTGATACATGAGGTAATGTTCAGTGTGAACGCCAGGATATGCACTTTGGATATCTAATGGGATTCTTTCTGAGGTAGTGAAAATGTTCCAAAATCAGATAGTGACGATGGTTCACGACTCTGTGGACACACTAAAAACCAGTGAATTATACATTTAAAAGGGGGGAATTTTACTGTGTGAATTATGTCATAATACAGATGTTAGTGGAAGGGGCTTGCTGGCTCAGTTGGTGTATGCGACTCTTAATCTCTAGGTCCTGCATTCAAGCCCTGCGTTTCCCCTAAAAAGATGTTGGGGTGGAGGAGTAGGAAAAGAGAGTTTATTTCTATAGATTCTTGACTAGATAGCACCAACCCCTCGACGAACCCTACCATGGGGACATGACATGGTGTGGTACACTATAGTTCTACTATACCTTTAAAGCTGTGAAAATTAATTGAGTTCCCAAACGTATTCATTATTTACAAATGGTACTCAGACACAGGTGGTCAAGTATAACTTGCAACGAGCATTTTCCTACTCAGGTTTTTATTTTTTCTTTCTTTCTTTCTTTTTTTTTTTTTTATTTTTTTTTTTAACATTTATTTAT